CGAAACTCGCCAATTTGTTAGCCGCATTCCTCGAATTGGTCTTATACGCGATTCAGTAGCTTTCAATTCACGTTTATTGGTCCTGAAAAACCTTGAGGATCAAAGAAATAAATCAAACTAATCTTTTCTCGTCCATTTTTTTCAATTCACTGTCCAGCAAATTGGTCAGCAGGGGTAGTCTCCGAATATCTATTCTGTGTACAGATGAGTATTTGGAGTTTCACTTCATGTGGCACAGCGAAGCAAATTGAGCCGGCTGGCAATGCTTGACGATTGATCCGACCCGACCCGATTGACGTGACCCGATCATTGAGCAATTACCGTTAATCGATCATCGACGAGTTGAAGTAAATTAGCATCTCCATATAGGGCGGGAATTCATTTGTAAGTCATCTACGGCTTCACTAACTTTTAAAAAACTGCACGTAAAATAGAGCACGTATACAGTCCGCTTTGTAGCTGTTGACGCGCTCCATGGCTAGGTGTCCTTTAATGGGTGATAGGTTACGGTATCATTAATGTTTTCATTATTTATTAGAGTGCTTCACTTTCATATGAGATTAGCAGAAGTTGGTTGTAGGTCGCAGTTCAGTTTTACTCGTTACTCGGGTTTTGTGCGGAAGTTTTCGGGAGGAGGGACTTGGGATGTCAGTTTAGGTTTTTGGTGTGTTCGGCTTGACTTGTAAGTCGCTGTGAAAAGTCAGCTGTTTCCGAAAGTTCACTGCTCGCTTATTTCAGAGGTTATGGGTGATTCTGATCAGGAGAAAGTGGTCTCTACCTTGAAAGCATACCTCAAGTTGTGCGCTAAACCAAATCACCGTCCACTCATTTTAAAAGTAAGTCTCAAATTCTCCTGGGAAGTAACTTTTAATGCAATTATCTTAAGGATCAAACTGTCCTGCATCTTCTGAAGAGTTTTCTGGAAGATGATCGTGTTGTTGTGATGACTTACCTCATCAAGGTGCGTTCGACAAGGTCACAATCGATTGTAGAAGGGCGTGAGCCTAGGCAAGGCATAATTATGCTAATAGAACGAGAATTCTAGTAAATTGAAACATGAGTAGTACGCCATTGCCTAGAATCTACAATTATTTATTTCTCAATATTGCTTATTCGTCTTCGCAATATTCCTTATGGTTACAGATTCTCTTATATTTGTCGGAAAATCCAGACGATGCGTTAGTGTTGAGCAATGTGGGAGGACTTGAGGAAAATCTCGCCGCTGCAGCTGAGAAGTCATTTCCACCTAATATCGTATACAACATTCTAATTATTGTCTCTCGCCTCAAATCCGCTAAGGACAAAGTAGCTCGTAATAAGTAAGTGACCGTCAGGCATTTTAGACGTACTTAGTCTTGTCCTTTAATTGGTTATTTTGTTTTTTTTTGTGTTAGATCATATTTCCCGCATTCAGCTAGAATAAAAGGCATCAGGGTAATGGTGCAACAGTTGGCTACCACATAAGGGACAAATTAGTTTTTCTTCCAGGCGTATTCTCAACGATCCTGTTCCTGCATCTGCTGCTGACAGTTGCGTTGGTGGCGGTGGAACCATTCCCCGAAAATTTGTGTCTCGCAAATCGAAACAATTGGTGTACGAGTTTGATGAATTGTGGGAGGTACAAATACAAAATCCAAAGTATCACAACAGAATTTCTTAATGATGCCGACATTTTTCAGGAATTGAAGAATGAAATCGAGCGTCGAGTTTTGGCCAAAAAGGGAGTCATTAGCATTTACTTCAGCAGTTCATCTAATAGAGCGACCATTCGTACAGTTCTTAATGTCGATGCACAAGTGAGTCAAGATGTTTCAGGCGGTAAAGAATAATTGAACAGCACAACTTAATTTTTGATAGCGCTTCGCCAGTAAATGTAGGCAAGCAGTTCCGAAAGCACTCATTCAATGTAGTATATTTCAAGCTTTAAAATTCCTGGCCAAATCGTCCTCTAACTGGCCCCACTCGATGTTATTTTATAGGAGATTACTGACTTGCTCTTCGATTGTGGGTGCGAAATGGTGACTCAGGTGGTGAAAGTGGATGGCGTCGACGAATTATTCAAAATGTATGCAAGTGAACGAGAAAAGAAGGTTTGTTTTAGCTGTGTTTTTGGAATAAATCGGGTTTCTTCCCTGGACTTCTTCATGTAAAAGCCTATGGGAAAGTTAGAATGTGTTCTCCCCTCCATCACATATCCTATTTCCCTCTATGAGTGCCTCCTATCTCACTCCTACTGATAGGGACATGATAAGCATTTTCATGTGCTTTGTTGAGACGTGAGCCAGTAGTTTCAAATAAAAGGTA